TGTTTTGAAATATACAAAATTGAATATCCTTTCTCTCATCAAAAAAATCAGTTCTCTTTTTTGAGTGATGGGAAGGGTCCTATATAGTGGCCAAACTAGTCTTGGAATAGCCATGTATTTTTTCCACTTCTATAAAATATAATAGAAAAAATATCTTATAACACCTGCTTTATTTTATATCTAAATGAATATACTATGGTCTTTATACTTTCCATCCAGAAAAAGTGGACCACAATCCCTGCAGATAGTCTGCATTTGCTGTACGGATATTAACTTTATCCCCAGCATTCAAAACAAGTGGAAAAGTACTTGAACAGTTTTCAAATCCTCCTCCACCCTAATTGTTACAATTTCCGAGTCCTTTTCTTTTTCCATTGAGAAGGATCTCCACGTCAAACAACTTTTTTGATGTTACACAACTTGACCACGTAAAATCGTAAAGACCAACAGACGGCGCTGTGAACACACCCGTATGTTGATTGTATGCGTTTCCATAGTTAAAATATACACCATCGTACACAACGTTAACGGGTGTTCCTCTTTGGAGGTGTAGTGTTTTTGTTGTGTATGCATTAAATGCAATAAATGTACCTGCAATATTACAAGCAAAATATTAGAAAAAAAAATAATGAAACAACAGCAAAAATAAGTATTACCTGTTCATAAGGTAACAATCAATTAAAACTGAAGACGATTCTAACGATTCCCAGTTATCATTTAATTTTCTTATGTAATTTGATTAAACTTGGCCTTTTCGCAATGTTAAATGCTTATGAAAAGTTTATGACAAATGATACCGTAAGTGAATATAACATGGATTTCAAAATATAAATTCCAATTTTGCATTATCTTTATAATGTGCCAAATATTTTTATTTAAAAATACATTGTCATGTTGTTGCGGGTTCTTCCTTATTATAGTAAATAACAAAAGTCACAAGCGTTTTCACATTTATTTAGATTCCAATATCTGTACATAGTATATATTCCGGCTCCACAGTAACCATAACCGTTACACCACACACCATACAATACTGAACACAGGACGTAACGTATGACGTGTAACCTGGAACGGAGGACGTATAACGGGACCTACATAACACAAAATTGTAAACACATTAAGTTACACATTTATACAGAAAGCAATTTTACATACAAGTTATTACCCACATAACCCACCATACACGTAAATGGGATAATAATGGGGTCAACATCACAGCGCTGCATCACAGAACTTGTATTAAATGCTTTTACACAATAATTACATTATTTTACATGTAACTTACACTAACACACAATAACTTTAATTACATAGTTACTTTACTGTTTAGAATCATAATGAAACTCAATACGACAATGCTAGAGCCGATACTTTCAATTAACACTACTCACTATAATATTTATAGAACATACAAACTATACAAACGAACGAACATTCAAACGAATAAACTAAAATTAAAACACGTTGAAATAACAAAGTTATCCCAGGACCGTTTAATTAACAAAACAGAGAAGAAAATGTAAATAAAACATGTTACTCACCTCAGAAGTCAGTGTCTGTATTACGATAAAAAATATTATAACTTTGCAAAACTTGGACAGTAAAAATTGGTCAATCAGAGCTCGTGCTGTTACATCTTGGAAAGCCGGTTTTAAGAAGGGCGGAAGCCTAAACTCAGGTATATAAATACAGGTAATGTAGAGGTACCAAAGAGGGTGTTCGAAAAGAGATGCAGAATGGGAAAACTGAAAGAAACTAAGAAACAACGTTAGAACAAATATCACAGTAAATTTAAAATACCAACAAGATAAATAATCAATACAACACCGTAAATGTGACACATGTATTCAAAAATGAAATATTAAAAGTACCTTTCGAAATAGTGCTTGGATCCTTTACACATCGATATTTGACCTCCAGATATTTAGAGTAATTAGGACACGGGTCTCCGAAGTGTTGAACATCGGCGTGAAGGTGGCATGTCCTGTACCCATTGCAATTCCATTTCGTCTTGATTTCAGACGCCTCCGAACGACAGGTACCTGTTTTGGTTTTACCAGAAGGACATACCTGTTCGTCCGTTCGTCCGTAGTTTGCAGATAAAATCTGAATCTGGGTTCCTTTGGTACATCTGATAAAACCTTTTTGACTATCACAGAGAGCAAACGACTGGTCTTAAATGTAAGAGATTTTCGGTTAGTTCTTATTACAGGTGAAATGACAATTTTAAAAAAAAGTAACAAATGTAAAAGATGAAATTGCAAGATAATTTGTATAAGTATTTGGAATTCATCTGAAGTCTCCACGTGTCTGAATGCCGATGACAAAATCAAAACAGCAGCAGCTTGGAAAAAATGTATCTTTTGGCCTCCAAAGATATATAAATACATAGTATTCGATATGAATATTTCACCTCGTTCAATGAAAGATAAATAGGAAAATAAAAGAACAAACGCGCATATTTATAGATAATATGTGCGTGATTTAATGTAACATATGTAACTCAACTATGAAATTGATATTTCGAAATTAAATTACATATACGTTTAAATACGAGGGGTTATCAAAAAGTTCGTGGACTGAGGCTGTAAAATTAGAACTATATCGTCTGAGCTTACAAAAATTATAGGGAACATTAAACAACAAAAAATAAAGAAATGTTGAAAATTTTAGCTTGAACCGTTCATTATTTCCCAAATTATTATAAAATAAAAACGACATTCTATGATCACCCGGCGCCGTCGCCGCTTAGTTTCATGACGTCGAACAACGTCATTATTTTTCAATATCCGCTTCTTCTATACCTCGTACCCTTATTTTGATGAGATTCCTTAGAGCTGAGTTAAGACTTCAACCCATCTTGTTTTTATGATTTGACAATGTCATGAACAGCAGCTTTCAATGCATATATTATTGCAAATGGATTTATACACTGGGAGACATCCTAGCTTGATTGTGCCAGCATATTTGTTTTTTGGAGTTCAGTATAGCTTAAACACATGACCAACGTCATTTTTTAGATTTTTCAAACCTTGACTACAAATCAACATTAACTGTGCATCCCTTTTCTCTCTAAATCTATTTTGGCATTAAAAAAAACAAGTAATCTGGATGCAAATTATTTCTCCGTAGCCAATTTGAACATTTCCTAGGTGTATACCAGTTTTTCCAGGGAGAAAACATTGTAGAATGTTGGAAAAGGAAACCCCTCGCCCCCTTTGACGTCATTTTCAAGGCAATGTTTGTTTGGATACTGCATGTAAAATTAACGATAACATTTCATAGAACTTCCAGAATGAGGTAAACATTCCATATTTTATGGAACAACAGTGTCCCAACACATACCTGAAATAACGGGAGTTTTGGATGTCAAATGTTCATATCAAATTAGTTCATCTTAGTTACACTTAGGTCGAAAAAACGGTCGTTTTGGAGGTTGCGCCGCCTGGACATACCATTGCTTACAAAAACTTTACTAATTTAATTAAAAATAAAATTTATGATTTGTGGCTAATTCTATAGAAAGAAAAGATGATGATAACTAAATATTTTTAAATTAATTGATGTACCTAAAACGGTTTTAATTCTATGGCGCTAATCCACGAACTTTTTGATAGCCCCTCGTATATGACCTTTTTTGCATTGAAATTTGTGTCGTGAACAAAAACACAATTTCAACATTTTTCCTCCAATGTTTTACACAATGCAATCATGAAATAACCTATAAGTGTATTAAAGAAAAGGCATTTTAAAGGGACATGGACATAGTTTCATCTTATTTTTTAAAACCAAGTTTAATGGTTACAATTCCTAATTAAGGCAAGTGATCAGCAAAAATTTGAACATCATTTTTTGATAAATTACGATAGAGATACAGAACCTCAAATTCTTCATAATGTAAACAAGGCTCTGCTTTGTTATGATTTACATATAGAGAATATATTTATAACTAAAAAAAACCAGATTCGGCAAATCACTTGAAACTGTCTAATCGTACTTAGAATAAACATCTTGCAATCAAATCATAACAAGAACCTTCTTTACAAGTGTTTGGAGCTCAAAAACCGTCTTGAATCTCAACATCTGAAATTTAAATTTTTAAAAACTTTAAAAATACCTTAGTTAAAAATTTGTAAATATAAATAAAATAGAAAAAAAATTAACTGATATATGAAAATGACTCGATTTTTTTTTTCATTTTTGGGGGGATAGAGGTATGTTTGTATCATCTGTCCTTAAGGTTTCGTCAAAGATTGACATGTCTAAAACTTATTTTTACAATAGCTCCAAAAACTATGTGTGGTATAAAGTCAAATTGTTTACAGTTTATAAATAAATCATTGATTACATGTAATAGATAGAAAGTATCACTTGATATAAAATATTAAAAAAAAAAAATTTCGAGAAAATATGTATCAGAAACTGTGCATTTTTGTGAAAATCATCATTGCAGAGAAAATATATGTTTATCATTGACGGGCAAGTTGGACTTGAAAGGTCTCTGAAAGGCTGTTATTGAAAGCATGACATGTATAAAGACAAGACCCCTGTAGAACCCGCCATTTGCAATTTACTTTCGCTTTCAAGTCTTAACATTGGGACAAAATAAACAGGGAAAACAACTTTCCAGAGGCTATCCAAGTCCCACTTGCCCTTCATTGATAAACATAGTTTGTTTCTGCAATTGTGGTTTTCACGAAAAGCACGGAATTAACTTAGTGCATTTTCTGAAAATGAAAAAAAAATTAATTATTTTTTTCTCAATTTAAATATTTTTTCCATGTATTTTTTATCAAGTGACACTTTCTATATGTTAATCAATGAAAAAATTATAAACTGTAAGAGTTTTAATTTTATAGCTCACATAGTTTTGGAACTATTGTAAAAATAAATTTTTGAACATGTTGACCTTTGACGAAACCTTATAATTAAGTAGATAAAAAAGTAAGTAAATTGAAATTATTTTTAAAACAGAGTTAACATTATTGTGTTTTATGTGATTTGATAGTTTTCTATTTTCCATTATTTCTCGTGTTTTTATATTTTGACAGAATGTCTACGGAGAAAGAAACGCTTCAAACACGTCAAAAGAACCCTGCAGTCCCTGGGACAAACCAACAAGGGACGCAACCTTTACCAGGCTACCAACAGCCCCATAGCTCCTATCAACAAACCCAGCCACAGTACACAAACTCTCAACTTCCAACGTACACACAGCCACCAAGCCCGTCAGTGACGTCACAATCACAGCTGCCTCCAATAATATATGTTGGGTACAACACCAACCATCCCGTAACATTTATACCGGCCCCAGTCCCAAAGCGATCGTTATTTGAGGCGTACCTTCTGACACTTCTTCTAGGGTTCACTGGAGCCCAGCATTTCTACCTGAGGCGTCCTGAATGGGGTGTCGTGTACTTGTTCACGCTTGGATTCCTGGGATGTGGGTGGGTGATTGACCTTTTCAGGCTCCCTTTGTTGGTGTCTCGCTGTAACAAACAAGCGTCACATCCGGAGACGACCGAGAAGAACAAGAAAAACCTGGACGACGCTTATGTATTATGGCTTCCGGCAGGTTTTATGGGTAAGAATTTTTAATGCAATGTTTCATCCAGAGCGTTTTTTTTTTACATCTCTCTCTCTCTTTCTCTCTTGCAGTTATATCCCAGATAGCAAGACATAGTTGGGCCAACGTTGGGCCAACATTAGCATCCTTAATTAATTCCTTGGAACGTTAAGTGAATGGAAGTTGCTTATGTTGGACCAACGTCGGGCCAACATAGGAATTCCGACATGGTCGAGAAGGCTGACATGTTAACGTAGGTCCAACGTTGGCCCAACGTTATTCCCCCATCGCCAATCATACAATTTAACCAATGTTGACCCAACATAGTCATGCTTTCTGGGATATGAATAAGTTCTACTATTTTCCATGATTTATAGAAGGTTATATTTTGTTTGCTTCTATAACGTCATTTTTTCCAGGACTTCATCACTTTTATTTGAACAACATCGGACTAGGCGTTGTTTACGTCTTCACATTCGGACTTTTCGGCGTCGGTTGGGTTGCTGATGCTTTCTTAATGCCGTATCACGTTAAAAAAACAAACTCCGACATCCCAGAAGATTCCAAAGAGAAAAGCGCAGCCACCACATGCATATTAGCCATTTCCCCTGCAGGGATCCTCGGTGCTCACCATTATTACCTCAATAGAATTTGTTTTGGAATCGCCTACACGCTTACTTTCGGACTTCTCGGTGTTGGATACATCGTCGATTGGTGCCGTTTCCCAGTATTAGTTCAAAGATACAACAAGAGTAAAAGAAAGCGTTTTATTTCCCACAAACATTTAGACGACGCTTATCTTCTATGGTTTCCTCTCGGATTTCTCGGACTTCATCATTTTTATCTGAACAGACCGGGCTGGGGTTGTCTGTATTTCTTTACTTTCGGTTTGTTTGGGCTTGGTTGGATTATCGACGGATGTCGACTCTGCTCCCTGGTTACGGAATGTAACAAACAGATAGACGAACAGGTGCTCCTCCACAGCAACAATCAGGGAATTTCTAATCCGAACTTTGTAACCGGAAGTGTTGGATCGCAACAATGGCCGCCAGCAGGTGTGATATACATAATATTGAAATTAAATTTCTTCGACTTTGACATCTTTTTAAAAACGAATTATTCGATGATTGGCACTGTTTTTTTTTTAATTTTGTAGCTGGAGGTCACATGGTCTCTAATTATACACATACGTCAATACCGTATCCACCTGGATATACCGTCAGTTATCCCGCCCAACCAGGGCTTTATCCAACAGGACCAATACAGCACAACGATAAGTTAAGTCATAAGCATTTTATCCAACACAGCACAACAGTAAGTTAAGTCATCGATCAGCATTTTATTCATTACAGCACAAAGGGAAGTTAAATCATCAGCATTTTATCCAACACACCACAACGATAAGTTTAATCATCAAGAATTTATGCAGCACATTACAACGGTGAGTGTAGGCACCAGGACTTTATGAAACACAACAAAACGGTGTTTTTAAGCATCAGGATTTTATCCAACAGAACACAGAAGTATAATACCAGTAATTAAAAGGTCATTGACATGCAATACATTAATTTCACTCTGAGGTCTTTTTCGATGATTCTTTATCTAAAAAAAGCCCCAGCTGTTACAAAAATAGCTTTAAGTTCAATGTGCAGATATTGTATTTTGCCATTCATCACCTGGACTTTGAACTCTATAGTTTCTCATATTTACAGGATATGGATCCACTTCCGGTGTCGACGATCAACCGCCTCCATATGAAGCTGGACCGCTGCCAACCAAGGACAGATAACTCTCTCAAATCCAGTGTGTGTTACTTTAATTTACATGTGGATGAAGATACGTCTTCATTTCACAAGGACCTGTAACAATAACTGTTTACCTGTCCAACAGGACTGGCTGAATGTGTGTATAGTTTTGACCGAAGATGACGACTTCGCCTTAATGCATATTCTAGCAGTGATTTGATAAATTATTTGGTGTAGGAAAGGCAGTCAAGAATAAAAATGTATAGAAATATTTCATTGATTAGAATTTCAAATGAAATGATCTTAAACACATATCACCCTGTACTGCTGTACGTTATAGTGATTTATATTTTGTATGGAATAAAAGCAAGAAAAAAGTAACTGATTATTCATCATAATTCATAATTATTTAGTACTGTAGATCACTTAAATTTCGCTACACCTTATTTTTGCGAGATGGTCATTGACTCTTTATTAGCGATACAAAATTTTTACGAATTGTGGTCATTACTCCATATAATATTATGGAATTCTATTATAAGCGAGAATGAAATTTTCGTGAGCAAACCATCTCGCGTAACTACGCAAAAATAAAGTTCTCGCGAATAAAAAGTGATTTACTGTAGTATACAGAATCTATCATGAACATCAAGTCTATAATCTAGTGAGTCACGATGTCTGTTAAATGCTTTTCCGAGCCCTGAGGCACCTGATCCTTATATATAAGCAGAGGAGAGTAATGGAAAGGGGATAAAAACTAAGACGAGTTCACTTTTGATCTTAGTCTCACTTTTTCCCATTGAATTAATAGTTGAAAAGGGAGAATGGGATCAAAATACGCTCGTCTTAGTTTTATGGCTCCCATGCCTAAAATCCCCTGGATTGGATATCAGTACGTAAACCCCCAAATAAGCCGGTTTCATTTAGTGTTCTGGTATGCAATGTAGACTGAATGACTAGAGTAAATACATAATTATGCTAAATACAACACTAAGTGCCCACAACAGGGTTTTTCAAGAAAACAACGATCTTTCGGCTACTGAACAAACATCACTGATCATGCCTTATGATTCACTCATTTGTCATTTTCTGTACGTGTTTATAGCACATTTAACACAGAGAGACGCTGTTATCTGGCATACGAGGGTTGTTTGTAAAATTTTCAGACCATATAAATTTTCGTCATATTACTTTACAAAAAAATTAAAATGAGCACAGTAATTATATATTAAAATATTTATTTTGTTGATGTGTAGAATTTCAATTCAATTGGGTGACCGAACTCCATCGAACAGAAGATATAAAACCAAATTCACAATACGTGAAAAATACGAATTGAAATTACTTAGTCCGGTAAACTTTTTTGGGACTGAGGACGTAATTTGAAAGGATAAGAGAGATGTTAAATATTTTTTTCAAATTAGAATTCATTTTTGTTTAATTTCAGCCCCATACATGATGTACATTTGTCAGATGAAGCAATGCAATCCCTCTTCTTACCTTTCTTTTGTTTAAGTTTTTTGTTTCAGAAGAAAAATCATATATTTATATGAATTTTCAAATAAATGAATAATTTATTGCTATTGTGAGATTTGTAACCTATAAATATCCTCTGTATCAACCGTGGAAGTATATGTCAGTCTGTTTATTAAGTTTTCTAGATGGCTAGCAAATTTTCGTTGTAAACATATATGTCTTTTATTTCTGTTTAAAAAAATAGACAAGGGTAGCTTTTTCCACATGATTTATTTCAATGATTTCATTTATACAAGGAAACATAATTGTGTTTAGATTTTCCATCCAGAAAAGCTGGACCACGATCCGTGCAGATAGGTTGCATATACTGTACGGATGTTCACCTTATCCCCGGCTCTTAAAACGAATGGAAACGTGTTTGAACAATTTTCATACCCTTTGATCAATTCATTGTTGCAGTTTCCAAGCCCTTTTCTTTTTCCATTGAGAAGGATTTCAACATCAAAAATCTTTTTTGGTTCTACACAACTAGACCACGTAAACACATAAAGCCTGTCAGATGGCGCTGTGAAAACACCTGTGTGCTTGTTGTACGCGTTTCCATAGTTGTAATACACACCATCGTAAACAATGTTAACGGGAGTACTTCTTTTAAGGTGTAATGATTTGATTATGTGTGCATTAAATGCAATTAATTTATCTGCAATATAAACAAAAAAGATACGGGGAAAAGAATTCTGATTCTTCGAGAGAGGAAATAAATGAAGATTATTTGCTTCAGGTTAATTGGACCCATTTGCAATTGAATGTTTTTCTTTATTGATTTTCTAATAATAATATAAACGAAAATTTTAATTAAAAAAATTATCATTGCGTGTGACAAATATTTCAAAACATTGCGTATTGATTGCATAATTATATTTACGAGACCCAACGATTAAAATAAATTTCAAGGTATTTAGGTAGATCGATTAACTTGTAAAATTAAAATTACCTTTTGAAATAGTGTTTGGTCCTTAACACAGCGATATTTGACCTCCAGATATTTTGAGGAGTTTTGACAGGGATCACCAAACTGTTGTGCATCGGCCTGAAGGTGGCACGTCCTGTACCCATTGCAGTTCCATTTTGTCTTGATTTCAGACGACTTCAAATGACAGGTACGTGTATTAATTTTACCAGAGGGACACACGCGTTCATCCGTCCGTCCGTAGTTTGCAGATAAAATCTGAATCTTGGCTCCTTTTGTACAGCGGATAAAACCTTTTTGTCCATCACAGAGAGCAAACGACTGGTCTTAAATGAAAGAGTTCTTGGGTTAGTTCTTATTAAAGGTGAAATGACAATTAAAAAAGCAAAATTAACAAGTTTAAACAATGAAAATTACAAGTTAAGTAACAGGTATTTGGAATTCACCTGAAGTCTCCACGTGTCTGAATGCCGATGACAAAAGCAAAACAGCAGCAGCTTGGAAATAAAGCATCTTTTGGCCTCCAAAGATAGATAAATACATAGTATTCGATATGAATATTTCACCTCGATATGTGCTATAAAAGAAAAATAAATACGAAAATTAAAGAACAATCACACATATTTATAGATAAAATTAGCGTGATTCAATGTAACATATGTAACTCAACTATGAAATTGATATTTCGAAATTAAAGTATATATACATTAAATTATATTAGCATAAATGAAACACTCACACGCTAAGATTCGAATATTAAAATTAATTGAAACAAGAATTTTCTTCCACAAATATATTTATACATAGTTCTATTTCTGTAAACCTCTTCACGTAGAACGTATGTCGTAGAAGTCTTTGTCACAAGATTTTCAATCTTTTCAAAAAGATAAATTAGCACCTTCTTATCAACGAGTTAAAAGCACATGGCATGTTTCCTTGTTATAAAATGTAGTTCAGTCTGTGAAACTTGGAATGGTTATTATATACTGCAACTTCTCATTGTCAGTCATTTTCAGGGGTGCTGACATCAAGAGAATATGAAAGATAAAAATACTTCATTAAAAATCGCATGTATAATTTTTTTTAAAACTGAACAATATTAGGCAATATTTCTCAAAAATAAGTTCTTTTTTTTTATTCACAAAATATACACACAATCTTCGACATCATTGACCCAGATACCTGTTAACTAGATATAATTTTATTTAGTTCTCAACTGATTAAATTTCTTGAGACTTGAATTCCCTCAAAATTGTTGCATACCATTCATATTATCACAATAATTTGTGTAAATTCATAACATGAGATAGTCTGGAATTTGTCTAATAGATTTAAAGAGAAAATCTAGTAAATAAAAGGTGCCTACAAGTTTTCTTAACTTAAAGGTGCACAGACTCAGATTTTAAGTTAATATTTTATGTATAATATCATAACTTATATATAGTAATAGCATTTCACACGAAATATATTAAAAATATTATTTCATCTAAGACTCATTGAAACTTTAAATTTTTGGATGTGTTTGATTGATACATTCCTGCACTTTAACAAATTTTAGTATAATTCTTTAGACTTAGGAAAAGTGGCAATCTTGTTGAGTATTAATGAAAATTATTAAAACTTTAATCCAGAAAAAAATCAGGTTAAAAATGTTCGAAAGCAAAACATACACACATTGGGTGCGTTCACAGTTCTGCCGTTGCTAGACAAAAGCTGCAGTTGCCATTGGCATGTCACTGGTACCAATGTTTCTTCCAATGGTATATTTTTCATCAGACAATCTAGAGTGTGGTTAATGTTGGTAAATGACGTCACAGCTTGTTCTCGACATGGCAACAAGCTAGTAAGACTTGGATCCCGGATTCACAATGATATAAACGGTTTTTCCTCAAATTATGCCAAAATCACGTAAAAAGTCATATCAAAGTCGAAATCAATATTTTTAAAGTATCATTTAGACATGATCCATTAAATAGATAATACAAAATTCATAGATATGATAACTAAAAAATTATGATCCTAATGTGGTTCGTTTCTCGGCTATGATTCTGCTATGATTTTCTCTTGACTCTGGAAATTGTCATGGCGACAGAGTAAAGTTTTTTGCGAATATGACCTAACTGTTTTTTTTACATAATTTACATAAGGTAGTAATAAGGTAGTGATGAATCAAAAGAGATATCTTGTATTAAAAGTTAATTGCAAGACCGATGCCCTAGAAAGCGCTAAATATGTCTCAGTGTATGCTTAAAAAAGTCCCATCACTTTTACATTGTAACACTGTGGACTGGAAATATTTCTAGCACAGAAATTACCCAGGCCAATAACCTCTGGGGCTTAGGTATAAATTTAAGAAGTACTTTAGATCAGTACAGATATTGAGCTATTGTTCATAACCTCTGATTACTGTTCGTTTTGTCAAAACAAGACTCTTATATGGTTATCAAATACTTAAATTCAGAATGCATTTTTTCTATTTATGTTAAAAAACTAGAAAAGGCAGCTTTTTACACCTGCTTTATTACGTTGATACTTGTAGTATACATTTGCTTTTAATTGTCTTTATACTTTCCATCCGGAAAAACTGGAAAAATCTTGGTGCAAATAATCTGCATGTTTTGTAGTACGGATGTTCACCTTATCCCCAGCTTTCAAAACCAGTGGAAATGTATTTGAACAGTTTGCATATCCTTTACCTCCAACATTACTGCAGTTTCCAAGTCCTGTTCTCTTGCCATTGAGAAGGAGTTCCACGTCAAAAATCTTTTTCGCTGCTACACAACTTAACCATGTAAACAGGTAAAGGCCGTCAGATGGCGCTATGAAGACACTTATTGTATGCGTCTCCATGATTGTAATACAAACCATCGCAAACAACGTCAGCAAGGGTTCCAGTTTGTAAATGTAGTGTTTTTGTTATGTATGCATTAAATGAAATAACGTCGCCTGCAATATAGAAGCAAAATCTTAGATTGATTGATTGTGTATTGTTTAATGTCACACTCGAGAATTTTGCCTGTTGAAACCTATTAATTTTGTTAATTTTCGGCGCTCAGGGACATTGTGCAGTGAGGGATCTTTTTCGTGCCAGCACCTACTGCGACAAGAGACCTCGTTATATACTATCTCAACCAAAAGACCGGTCTCTACATCCCACTGTGGTTTTCGAACCAGCAACATAAGGATCAACTCCCTACTTTGCGAATTTAGAGCAGACACTTTAACCACTAGGCCTCCCAGTGATCAAGATTGAGTAATTCAATAAAATGTACCGTAACAACATATAAATAATTGAATAACAAAAGCTTATTCATTAAGGAATTTTTGCTCTAACCAGAGACATAAATTACAGGGATTAGCAACTCCGCCATTAGCATGTTTGTTTACCGAAATATGTGACGGTCCTGATACTTACCTACAAGAATAACTCTTTTTATGTCTTTTATTTCCTCGAAAGTAAAATAATATTTATTATACCATATTTGGATGCCCGATGTGTAAAGTTTTTATGATCTTTATAAGCAAATTGGGCAAATAAAAGAGGTTAATGATCGATAGTTTGCAAAATCGCGACAATATGGCCAACCAAAAGTCACATTGTAATTTATGGTTTCTCCTTTGTCACTGCATTACATAAACAAATTAATGAAGAAATAACATCGTGAACAATTCATATAACAAATCAAGAAAATATTCTATGTAATTCCTAATAATTCTAAACTTTTATTTGATTTAAGTTGCACGAGATTGCACGAGATAAAAAAAAAAACAAGAGGGAACCCGAGAATTTGAACAGTTGTGAATCTTTATTATTTATGTCTCTGTTTTTACATAATATTTACAAGCGTGAAAAAAATGGTAGTTTGTTTCTAGTAGTCTACAAGAACATTTATGACTTGGTATTAAGTTACAGCCATACAAGTTAGAATGAAAAAAAAAACAATTATGTCTAAATCTTTTATGAATTATGTTAAAAACACCTATTCCACAATGTAAAACTATTTCAGAGGTTTTACAATACTTTTCTCCAGATTTTTTTTTAATGTGATAGAAGTTGAATCTGAGTTATTTGACATAAAATTACTTTCAAAAACATTAATTCTCCTAAGCATTATCCATATTATGAGTCCCTATAGTTAAAATTATTTTGAGACGAATTCGCAGTTAAAATAAAACATCACAGATAGCACACGACTTGTCTTACATGAAAGAATGAGATTTCGGAATCCTTCTTAATAACAACTGTTTGCAGTTCAGGTTACAAGTAAAAAGGAATTAGAATGTACCTGACATCTTCACGTGTCCGAACGCTGATAATAGCAGCACAAAAGCAGCAGTCTGGAAAAACATCATCTTTCGACCTCCAAAGATAGCTTAAAATACAGTAAATGGTATTAATATCTAACCGATTTAGTATGCCATGACAGTAAAAAGGGTTTTGGTTAAGAAAACTAAGAAAACATTATCTAAATTGCAATAGAAATATAGATTGACGTAGAATATATTGTTTTAATTACCCTTTCTTTGAAAAACTCGTTCAACGAACGGCAAAAATGAGAGAACAGACAAATTTATAGATGGATATGGGTGACTCAATGTAACGTGTTTCTTAATCGTGCAATTAATATCTGGAAAAAATTTAAATAATACAAAAAATCAGCAAAAACGAGAAATTTACGAGCTAAGGTTTGAATAATTAAGGTCATACGCAACGTGATTATTGGGTTCTTCCCTGAAGTTGATGAGTTCCACGAGATGAAGGGTCTATGTGCAATACTTTTAATGTTTATGTACGGATTTATACACCTCTTCTTAAATAAATTTGATGGGGAAAAATCTTGAATACATGTTTTGTAATTCCTGTATATTTCTCATTGAATACTGCAAATTTTTTTATAATTTGATATATTCCTAAAATCCCTGGTAATGCATACTGAATATTTGTCAATGAACATCTGATGACACTATAATCTTAAATTAAGAATATCTTGAAAAGTGATTAGTAGGTAAGATACCTTGCGTATGTCCATAATTTTAAAATATGCTTTTCTGCAATAAATTGAAACATCATTAAAAGAATTTTTTTTTAGATACAAATATATTTATGCTTAATTCTATGAACCTTTTAAATTCTAATATTAAATATTGAATTCACAGATAACAGTGCTCTCCCTACGCTCCTGCCTTCAATCTACTTTGCCTCATATCCTTGCTTTGTAAATGCTAACTCTAAGAAATAACTGAAAAAAGCTACATTTTATAACGTTTATTTCATAAATTTAATAATTTTTAGAAGGATGTTGGCTACATGAACATTTTTTATGTGGAAACTTGGGAGTCGACCATAGCGCCAGTCTAACTTCACATGTAAGGGACACACTGCAGGCCTTCCTGAACATCAGTGTCCGAGCCTGAACGTTCACAAGCGTTCCAAGGAGGTATAAGCGTGACCTGTACCTCTTACCCTGTCTCCTACAGTGCTATCTAGTATTAAATTTGCATGGGAGAGGCTTAACCACGCGTAATTGTTACATGCAACAGCCTGTGGAATCTCCTCAC